TTCTTCACATATTCTAAATTTATGGATTAAAAAAGAAAAAGATTACCAGCTTCCTCCACTGAATACATCTCTCGCCAAAACATCCTATGTTTGTAGTCATCTTTTGGGGCATACAGGTATGTATTTAATTCCCATTTCTGGAGCCTTAAGGGTAAAGAAAATGGCATTACGTATAAATAGGCACATGGATAGGCTGTAAATCTCATTTTTCCTCCTTTTCTTGAAGCATCTCTTAAAAAGCTATTAATATTCTGGGCAGAATTGTAAAAAATATTACAACAAATGTCAGCATATTAAACAGTCTTAACTAAAAACACAACTACTCCAAATGAGGCAGGTGAAGCCCAAAATATATTTAGCTTCCCCAGGGAAGTTTGAAAACCAATGGCCTAGGTTTAGAAGAGGTAAAAGACCAAGCCCTACAACTGAGAAATCATCAAATTGCATCTAGCTTCTTGTTAGTATTTCTTAAAACAAAAGGAAATGTTAATGATCTAAAACTCTCCATCATAAAATAAAAATTTACCTTCTAAAGAGTTCTTTTCTCTGTTCCATAACCCAAGGTCTTCCATAAAATCCTGGATTCAAAGTAAGAATGAAATTATTTTCAAGTTTCAAAATGCGTTAAACTGTTTGAGAAAAAGCAGGTTACAAAACAAACAATACAATCCCATTTTGTAAAAAAATGTGTACAATTATACCAAAATCTGAAGGGTATTTAGTAAGTAAAACATTAAGGTGTCTTTGGGTGGTGATATTATAGAGGAATTTTTATTCCCTTTTTGTTGGGATGAATTTTCTGATTTTTCTACCATGAACACATCTATAATAATAAAAGCGTGATATGCTAATTAGACCAGGCATCCTTCTGGATAACTTTCCAGATAAAGCGGGGGCTGCTAGGGAAGCGAGGGTCCCAGGTGCAGGAGGGAAGCAGGTGCTGGCAGCCGAGGAAAGGAAGGCCTACTCTTGCACAAATTTCGTGCATCGGGCCTCTAGTTATTTATAAAGTCATTTAAAAACAGCATGACAATGTTTGCAAAGCTGGTTTCCAAATCTCTGAGGCAGGGGGGCC